CCCTGGAGGACCAGCTAACTATAGGCTAAACAAGTCACTTCCTCCTAGTTTAGCATTCTGTAGCCAGCCAACTGCGTCTGGGAAACTGACAGAAGGGGCAAGAAGACCTTCTTCAATATTACATACTCAGAGGTATACTGCCCCTGAACAGGAAAGCTTAATTTAGGTATTATGGCTGGTAAAAAGAGGTTCCATGGTGGAGAAGAGGAGAAATAGGCAAAGAGTGGAAAGAAAAATGAAGTGCAAGTGGTTTGGCAGGGTGTGTGGTCTCAAAGCACACTCACTTTGAAGAGTACCAGCTGACACTGTCTTCTACTATCTCTCATAGCACCTTGTGTAACTGAGTCATACTGCCTTTCTATCTTTACATAAGAAAGAGGGGGGGCCTGCTCCACCCCTTCATACAGACTATGGGATATACACAACCACTTAACTTTAAAAGGGGTAACTTCTCTGAAATGACGGGACATGTGAAGAGGAAACTGAAAGGAAAAGTAAAAAGGGTCAAAACCACTGGGGAAGTTTGGAGACCATTTAAAACTACAGTCCTAGAAGCCCAGATAAAATATAAACCACGGGTTAGGAAAGGCACAAATAGGTGTAGAAAAAGGCCTGCATGGTTAACAATCAAAGTAATGAAAGCTGTAAAAGGTAAGAAGGATTCCTTTAAGTTGGGGGTCTCAAACATGTGGCCCAGGGCCGGATTAGGCCCCCAGAAGGCTTCCAATCAGGCCATCTCCTGCTTCCAGTTCTGCTGCTGCTGCTGCTGCATCAGAGCTTGCTTCACCAGACTCTCTTAATCACTCAGCCATTTCATGTTTTAACCTGGGTCCTAGACTCAGAATTCTGAGCATGAGATTTCTGTGGTGAATGTCAATAAATCAAAAGTAGGTTTGCAGCTTACAGAGCTAATGTTTTAAGCATGTTTTTATTTTAAGTTAAAAAAAATCTTTGTGTTTGTGTTCTTTATAAAGTTTATGTTTCCACTACCTAGCATTACATTTTATGACACACATGGCCAGGCCCAACAAGGTCTCATTTATGTCAGATCTGGCCCTCATAACAAATGAGTCCGACACCCCTGCGTTAAGTGGTGGAAAGCTAGTCTCAGTGAAGTTGATAAAAGAAAACACAGGCTGTGGCAAATAAAATGCAAGTCTGTGATCAAGCTGGCAAAAAGGGAATGTGAGGAGCATATAGCAAAAAACGTAAAGACCAACAATAAAACTTTCTTCAAACACATTAGAAGCAGGAAACTGGCCAGGGAGGCAGTGGGGCCCTTGGATGACCGAGGGGTAAAAGGAGTACTGAAGGATAATAGGGAAATGGCTGAGAAGCTGAATGCATTTTTTGCCTCTGTCTTCACTGTGGAAGATGAGTGCCGATTTCGGGAGGGGTGTTGAAAGACCTGAGTCAGATTGAGGTGATGAGAGAGGAGATTCTACAACTGATAGACAACTTAAAAACGGATAAATCACCAGGCCCGGATGGCCTACATCCGAGAGTTCTGAAAGAACTCAAATGTGAACTTGTGGATCTCCTGACAAAAATATGTAATTTTTCCTTAAAATCTGCCTCCATTCCCATATTTAAAAAGGGTTCCAGAAGAGATCCAGGAAATTACAGGCTGGTCAGTCTGGTGTCAATACCGGGTAACTTGGTGGAAACTGTTATTAAGGAGAGAATTATTAGGCACACTGATTAACAAAAACTATTTAGGAAGACTCAGCATGGATTCTGTAAGGGAAAATCTTCTCTCACTAATCTGTTAGTGTTCTTCAAGGGTGTGAACAAGCATGTGGACAAGGGGGACCCAATTTATGTTGTTTACCTTGACTTCCAGAAAGCTTTTGATAAATGTCCTTATTAAAGGCTCCTAAGTAAGCTCAACAGTCACGGGATAAAAGGACAAGTCCTTTTGTGGATCAAAAACTGGCTAATAGGAAACAGAGACTGAGTATAAATGGGCAATTTTCACAGTGGAGGGTGGTAAGCAGTAGGGTACCGCAGGGATCAGTACTGGGTCTGATGCTTTTTAACTTGTTTGTTAATGATTTGAAGTTGGGAGTAAGCAGTGAAGTGGCTAAACTTGTGGATAACACTAAATTGTTTAAGGTGGTGAGAACCAGGGAGGCTTGTGAGGCACTCCAAAGGGATCTGTCAAAGACGGGCAAGTGGGTGTTAATGTGGCAAATGGGGTTCAATGTGGCCAAGTGCAAAGGGATGCACATTGGGGCAAAAAATCCTAGCTATCAATACACGTTGATGGGGTCCGAACTGATGGAGACTGAGCAAGAGTCAGTGTGTGACTGCAATAAAAAAGGCCAACGCTACACTGGGGATTATTAGGAAGGGAACTGAAAACAAATCAGCTAGTCCGGCTCACACAGTTTTGTCCTAAATCAGGAAGGATGGCTTCAGAGCAAACCAATTTATGCAGTAGCCAAATCACTTGCTCACAACTTTAATGCCAGTAGCTCACAAAGTGGAATTTTTGCTCATAAGACTCCACAGCTTAGAGGGAGCATTGATCATAATGCCCCTGTATACATCCATGGTGCGACCTCATTTGGACTACTGTGTGCAATTCTGGTCACCACATTTCAGAAAGGATATTGTAGCATTGGAAAAGCTGCAGAAAAGGGGCAACTAGAATGATAAAAGGGTTGGAACACTTTCCCTATGAAGAAAGGTTAAAGACTCTTTAGCTTGGAGAAACTACAACTGAGGGGTGACATGACAGAGTATGCATGGGATAGAGCAGATAGAGAAAGAAGTACTTTTCTCCCTTTCTCACAATACAGGAACTTGTGGGCACTCAGTGAAATTGCTGAGCAGTTGGGTTTGAATGGATACAAGGAAGTACTTCTTCACCCAAAGATTGATTAACACATGGAATTCACTGCCACAGGAGGTGGTGGCTACAAGTATGGACGGCTTCAAGAGGGAATTAAGTAAATATATGGAGCAGAGGACCATCAGTGGCTATGAGCCACAAGGTATAGATAGGAACTCTCGGTCTGGGGCAAGGGATGCTCTGTCTTCTTGGTGCTTGGGGGGGGGGGTCAACAGTGGGAGGGCTTCTATGTCCTGGCCCCACTGCTGGACCTCCTGATGGCACCTGGTATTTTTGGCCACTGTGTGACACAGAGTGTTGGACTGGATGGGCCATTGGCCTGATCCAACATTGGCATCTCTTATGTTCTTAAAATATTAAACCATAGGAATCTATTAAGCAGCTCACAATAAAGTCAAAGCCCCCGATAGATGATATAAACAACGGTACCCAAAAACGACAGAAGCCCACAGCAGCTACAATGTTTTCCTCCTCCTTCATGTTTCCACACTCAGCCCCAAGAGCCTTCTGGAAAAAAAGGGTCGGGGTTCCCGAAGACCATCAGAGAGGAAGCCGTCAGGCAGGGGCTCCCTAAGGAAGGAGCGCCACGATCCCACTGCCTGCTTTTGGCAAGGCCACTCCGCACGCTTAGGACGGGAAGGGCCTCAAAAGGCCAAGGCCCCGGAGGAGAAGGGGAGTGGGAGTGGAGCAGGGAGACCTCCAGGAGAACCCAGACTGTCCTAACAGCAGCAGCAGCAGCACCGCTTTGAACGGGGTCTGTGAGCACCGGCACTGGACGAAGCTGCCCCAAGAAGAAGAGCCGGGGG